AGTAACATCACTCAAATACTCCCTTTTTAGGATAATATGGTGAACATGTACACATCCAGCAGGTACAGAGCAACATTAAGGCCCAGATACACCGGCCGGAATCGGCAGTAAATGGGAGTCGGGCCGAACATGAGCATGGGCACGCCCTATTCGGAGTGGTGTGCGCCGCACCGTCGGGTCTTTTCTGCCGACCTGACGCCTTTTCTTGCCGATTCAACATGCGTCGGGAACACCACCGGAAGTCGGACAAAGGGATAACACCGATTGGCTGTTCAGCTAGCGAATCAGTGCATGAGAAGCGTTAGCGGAAGTGAGGGAGGTAAACAAATGATTTAAAATGGAAGATGGAACACACACGGACAGCTATTTCACCTCATCGGTTTATAGAGCCCCTGTTCGTTCATGTTTTCAATGGACGAGAGTGAAAATGGAAAGAAAAACGCTATTTGTTGTTTGTTTATATCACGGAGTCTGTTCTTCTTCTCTGTCTTTCGGTTGTTGCCTCTTTTGAATGATGAATACACACTACCGCCGCCTGCTGGTAAGGAGAGTTATTGCCACTCACGCATACGCAGTTCATACATGCTCGGCTCCGATTTGCGGTGTGTTCCAGTGCGCGAAGTCGGCAAATACGCAGGAGAGTCCGGCGACGCAACAGTCGGTGTCGGCGTCGGCGACTTCTCAGGTGACTGGCCGGTGTATCTGGGCCTTTAGCTCTGAGTGTTAGCGAGGCTTGCTAATGTAAACAAAGACGAAATTACGTCCAAAACACGTCAGGCATAGTTTCTGATAGCAACTTTCTGTGGGTCCGCTGCCGAGTTGACATCAGTTCGGATGGAATCTGTATCAGCTCGTTGTACATCCGTTTTTAAAAGATTTGGGTACGGAGAGAGAGGGGTTTATTGTCTGATGCTGCGTGAGTTCCCCGACGCACCGGGGACACATGTATGTATAAAAGACATCATAAAGTGCACTTTGCATGATAGCTTAAAAATGCTAAAACAGGATTTTTTTTTTTATCCTTTTATTTTCTGACCTTGCAATTTAAAATCAATCAATTAAATAATTGGCAACGTATCGTAGATCAGGAGAGCTCAACCAACAACACCAATGGGGATGCACTTTCTGCTAGCTAGCAACGACATGAGGAAATATTATGTTTTAATAAACATTTGGACAAATATTTTCCCTTACCAAAGAAATACAGATGGTTTTTTTCATTACATTTGGAAAGCCTTGAAAAGTCTCAAATGTCCCATGCCAAAAGCTGTAAAAACTATTATATTTTTATCCTGAGAAGACTTCAGACTCACCGGGGGCTTGGCAAAGGGCAGAGGGCATGCCCAGGAAAGGGGGCCGCAGGTGATGTCCTAAGGCGATGTGAGGGCCGGTTGGAGGGGACAGTAGGGGTGGAGGGTGGGACAGTTCTCTGTGGACACAAATATGAAAAAAGACCGTTTTACTGGATGCTTAAAAATGTGCGTGGCGGAGATGTATAATATAAAGAAAAGAATAGTTTTAAGTACGTCTCAACTCTTTCTTAGTGCGTGTGCATGAATGTATGTGGTGTATTTTTATCAGTGGAGCTCCAGAGGCCCCTGTGTCGCCCCACTGCCTCATCAGTCTTGTCACGCCGCAACAAGCGCCGCTGGCCATCGCTGTACCCTGGACTGCAGCCTTCCCTCTACTGCCGCCCCACAAACACACCATACAGACACAGAAATACACACAACTCTAAACCCACACACATAATGAGGGCTGAATGCACAATGCCGGTGTGTCATGCTCCGACAGCTGGGGCGGCCCCTGCGTCTTGACCGGGGCCACGGGCTGAAGGACCTTCTAATTAACACTCATCCCTTCTCTATTCTCTCCCTTTTTTACGCCCTCCTCTCCGTTTCCCTCCCTCTCACTCTCTAGGCTGCATTGAAACCGGTGAAAAGATGGAGCGTCCTGCAACCTCTGCTTCTGAAAAGGCCTCCCCATTATCGGCTCCGTCTTTTGTCCTCCTCGAGGGGGAAAGGCGCCTCTCACCTTTCTCCCTCTCTCTACATCTCTTGTTCAGTCTTAACCATATTTTTCTGTTCTGTCTATGACCTCTGAAAATCCGGTTTGTTTACTCTTTTATCTTCCTCCGCTTTTATTTATTTCACTCTGTCTCATCCTGTCTCTTTACCCGAGCCTTGTCTTGCCTCTTTGTATTTCACTCTGTTTCTGTCCCACTTCTTTTCTTTCTCTCTAATCTTTTTCTCCTTTTATCCCTTTGCTTGGTTTTTCTTTCTGGCTTCTGCACATCATGGGTAAAGGAACATGGTTTTGAGGAAACAGATACAAACTCTCAGAAGAGTGAGGCATGTGCACGTTGACCGTTTCAAAGAGTCAACGTGTGGGTGAGGATTGCTTCGCAGTGTCCTAAACCATATCTGGTTCCAGAGCTTTCCTCAAGTACATTTCTTGCTTCCTACACTTCTCCTCTCGCAGCTCCTGTCTCTAGTTCTCTCCCTCTGAGCTGCTGCTATCACCCCAATCAGATCTTAGCAGTGTGACGGCCGCAGCACAAAGCTGAGGAAAACAACTAAATCAGAACCAACACTGGGATGCATGCAACCGCAAATATTGTTTTGCATCTGTGTTCAAATTAGCTAGCGCCTGCATGTCTCCCGCCTCACTAAATGGTGAGGAAAAAAGGAGAGAGAGAGAGAGAGGGAGGAACTGCAAGGAGGGAGGGCACGCATACAAGAGCCAGGAGATGAGATGGGGGGGGGGGGGGAGTTGGAGCCAGCGCTGAGAGGGTGGTGGTGTGTGCGGGGGTGAAAACCATTCATCGATCGCCTCCGCCGCTGAAATGTTAATGCTAATCGTATAACCGCTCTCTCCGGCGGTGCCTCGCACTCCAGTGGCAGCTCCAATTAATCTTGGGTGAGGGCTACGGCGCGTGACCCCGGAGCCGCGAGCCGGGGCCCCGCTAGCCGCTGCTTATGTAATTACACCGCCCAGTGTGTAATCACCTGGCCTAATCCCTTGGGGCTAGCAATTAGCCTTGCGACGCGCAGCTCTACTGGGCTACACCAAAACGCCCGCAAAACTCCCATCCACCCCCGCCATAGCTCCCGCATGCCAAACACCCATCACCCCCTACCCCCCTTTCTGATACTCCCTCCCTTTCGTTCTCCCCCCTCCTTGCACCGCCTACCCTTGCCTAGCGTTAGCCCGCAGATGAATAACGGTCAATTAAAGCTGCATGACTGGGGCTGCCAGGCGTCTGCGCCACCATAATTAGGCCTAATCACGGGGAGTGAGAGAGACGGAGGGAGAGAGACAGAGAGAGATGTGGAGAGAGAGAGTGTGCCTGACGCTCCCCTCCACTCCCTTCCTCCATCTCTCCCTCTTTTCCTTCTTTTACAGGAGGCAATTTTAAAAGGGAGGAGTGGCAGACATTAGTCGTTTTGCTCTGGGCCTGTGTGTGTGTGCGTCTGACTGTGCGTGTGGCTTTTCTGCCCTATCTGTGCATTTTGTTGGCAAACCACTAACATGCTATAAAAAGTGGAAGCAA